ACGGAAAAAGACAAAAGACAAAAAAAAAAAAAAAAGAAGACATACGAATGGCCAACAGACATGAAAAAATGCTAACATCTCTAGCCATCAGGGAAATGCAAATCAACACAACAAAGAGATAACACCTTACTCCAGTTAGAATGGCTATTATCAAAAAGACAAAAGAAGACAAGTGTTGGTGAGGATGTGGAGAAAAGGGAATGTTTGAACACTGTTGGTGGGACTGTAACTAGTTCAGCCATTATGGAAAACAGTATGGATGTTCCTCAAAAAATTAAAAATTAAAAATAGAGCTACCATTTGATCCAGCATTCCCAGTACTGGGTACATACCCAAAGGAAATAAAGTCAGTATGTTGAAGAGATATCTGCACTCCAATGTTTATTTCAGCACTATTCACAATAGCCAAGATATGGAATCAACCTAAATGTCCAACAACAAATTAATGGATAAAAAAAATGTGGTATATACAGATGATGGAATACTAGTCAGCCATAGAAAAGAATGAAATCCTGTTATTTGCATCAACATGGATGGACTTGGAGGTCATTATGTTAAGTAAAGTAAGCCAGGCACAGAAAGACAAATACCACATGACCTCATTCATATATGGACTCTAAGAAAAAAAAGTTGATCTTACAGAGAAAAATAGAACAGTGGTTACCAGAGACTGGAGACGGAAAACGGGGAAAGACTGTCCAATGGATACAAAATTACAGTTAGGAAAAAGCTCTGATGTTCTATTGCATATTAGGGTGACTATGGTTAATAGTTAAGTTTTGCACATTACATAATAGCTAGAGATGAGGCTTTTAAATGTTTTTGCCACAAAGAAATGATATGCATGAGGTAGAGGTAATTGATACATTAACAAACCTAATCTATGCAACATATATATGTCAAAATATCAGATCGTACCCCATAGGTAGGTACAATTACAATGTGTAAGTTAAAAGAAAAAAACTAAAAAAACACAAAAAACAACCTAAATAGCTTTGTAAGCACATTCTCAAATAATCGTTTCAATCTTACAGAAACTCTTCTGAGAATAAACAAGAGACCTCTCACATTCAGCCCTTTTATGAGACATGCAATGCTTTGACTACAAAGGAAACATGGGGGCCAGCTGGTTAGAGCACCATGTTGATAACACCATGGTCAAGGGTTCAAACCCCTGTACCATCCAGTCACCAAAAAAGGAAAAGAAAAAAGGAAACATGAAGAGTACAAGAAATGAAAATTACAGACCAGTTTTATTAATGGATATAGAGGCAAAAATTGTAAACAAATTATTAGAAAATTATATCAATGTATAAAAAATACATCATGACCAATTTGACGTTATCTGAAGAATGCAAAGTTATTTTTAACAGATTTATTGAGATATAATTCAAATACCATAAAATTCACCCTTTTAATGTGTACAATTTGATGGCTTATAGTATATTCGCAGAGTTGTGCAACCATCAATACAGTCAATGTTATTTTTTTTTTTGCTGGCTGGCCAGTACCAGGATCCAAATATATGACTTTGGTGTTATAAAGCTCCAACCAACTAAGCTAACTGGCCAACCATCACAGTCAGTTTTAGAACATTTCCTTCACCTCAAAAAGAAATCCTGTACCCTTTAGCTACCATGCCCCTTTCTCTCCATTTCCCCCGGCCCTAAATGAACACTAATCTATTTTCTGTCTCCATAGATTTACCTATTCTGGATATTTCATGTAAATGGAATTATATAACATGTGATCTTTTGCTTCATACATTTAGCATAACATTTTCAAGGTTCATTCATGTTGTAGCATGTATCAGTACTTCATTTCTTTTTTTTTTTTTTTTTTAAAGATGACTGGTAAGGGGATCTTAACCCTTGACTTCGTGTTGTCAGCACCACGCTCACCCAGTGAGCCAACCAGC